GGATAATGAAATCATCACTAGAGAATCTCTTAACAAACACACAATGATAATGAGTAATCTTCTAGTAGCCTTACTTCCTTATAACAAACTTAAACTTCTTGTACCATTTCCTTGGAGCTTGCTTCAAACCGTACAAGCTTTTCTTCAAACTGTAAATCCACCGATCCTTCAAAGCTCTTTTATCATTAGGCAGTTTCATCAACTCAAAGGTATAGCTTTCATGCAATGATTGAAGTTCATCTTTCATTGCTTCAAAGACTGATTTTTGCATTCACTCTCCATAGCCTATTCATAACATTTAGGTTGTCCCCCTTCATTCAAAAGAACATACTCATAAGAAGAATACCTGACAGATGATCGTTGATCTTTAGAAGACCTCCAAAGTTGAACTGCTGGTGGAGATATACGTACTTGCTGTTGATCATTCACAGAATCATCCATGAGAGCAACAAAGTCACCTATATCTTGCTAGTTATCATTAACATCACCATGCACATCACCTTGAACAAGACCTGGTGAAGGGTCTAGGGGAACCATATTCACATCGATCAAGTCACCACTATCTTGTGAATCTGTTTTCTCTATCTTATCAATGTCATCAATGGTTTGTTCTTCAATGAAGGCAAAATCTCGACTTCTCACGAGTTTCTTCTGAACTGAACTCATTAGCTAAACCATAACCAAGAAAGATGCATTGTCTTGTCTTGGCATCCAACATGGATCTTTCATCATGTGGAACATGAATAAATGCTTTACAACCAAACACACACAAGTGATCATATGACACGTCTCTACCAAACCAAACTCTATCTGGTATATCACCACGCAAAGAAACACTAGGAGACAAATTAATCACAGTGTCACTATATTTAAAACTTCAACCCAAAACTATCATGGAAACTTTGCGTTTGACAATAAACATCTGACTCTCTCAATCAATGTTTGGTTTATTCTTTCAGCCAAACTATTCAATTGTAGAGTATTTGGTGGTGTCCTCTGATGTATGATTCCCTGCCGCAGACAATATTAGTTCTATGAGTTGAAGAGCTTAATGGCGTTAGTTTATATACGTATATTAAAGTGTTTAGGTTATGTTTCTTGACAATGTGGGATAAAAACTAAAAGGTATATTCCTTAACTTTTTTATTTCTATATCTAATGAATTTACTTAAACACTATTATTAAATTACATTAGGTTAATATTTAATAGGATAAAGTATAGTAATGGTCACTAAACTTTTCTAAAGCTTTCAGTTAGGTCCCCTAACTTTTAAAACTTGCAATACAGTCCCCAATGTTTAGTACATTTGCAGTATGGTCCCCCAACATTTAGTCTATTTGCAATATAGTCCCCGAAGTAACTATTGGGGACCATATTGCAAACGAACTAAATGTTGGGGGACTGTATTGCAAGTTTTAAAAGTTGGGGGACCTAAATGAAAGCTTTAGAAAAATTCAGTGATCATTACTATACTTTACCCTTAAAAATATTATTATCATCTTTAGAAACGTAAAAAATAAATTTATGAATATTTGAAATGATTTTCCCCACCACGTGAAAAACTTTGATTGTGAACTTCTTGTGTCACTTCTCCAAATGAATTTTTGCCAAATGAGGTCGGTCCCAAGGATACGTGGTGATCTGCCTCAGTCTTCTAGCTAAGATTAAACTGCGATGGCTGCCTGCTGCATGCTCAACCATTCTTCATACACCAGTAACTTTCTTTTCTTTGCTTATAAATACCCTTGCTCTCTTATGTGACCTTACAACACTTAGAAACCTATTCCAAAAAAGGGTTTTTGAGCTTTTCTATCTCTCTCTCTCTCTCTCTCTCTCTCTCTCTCTCTCTCTCTTCAGTCGTATTTTGCAACCAAAATGGCTGGAATTGTTGTGTTTTTTGATTTTGACAAAACCATCATTGACTGTGATAGTGATAATTGGGTTATTGATGAACTGGGTTTTACCGACTTGTTCAACAAGCTTCTCCCAACCATGCCTTGGAATTCTGTCATGGTATAAAATCTGTCATATTTTCTATTTGAATAATAAATATTAAACCCAATGTCTAAAACTTAAATACATTTACGTTTTTCGTGGCATAAAATTACAGGACACGATGATGAAAGAGATCCATGCACAAGGAAAAACCATTGATGACATTGTTGAGGTTCTAAAACGAACTCCTATCCATCCTAGGATCGTCCCGGCTGTTAAATCAGCTCATGCCTTAGGGTATGATTCTCTTCTTCCTTCTTACACCAAACTAGTTGTCTGTAAAGTAACTCATCTTTTTTTTCTTTTTTCAGGTGTGAACTGAGGATCGTAAGTGATGCAAACATGTTCTTCATCGAGACAATCCTGGAGCATCTTGGACTGAAGGAATATTTCTCTGAGATCACCTCAAATCCAGGCTTTGTTAATGAAGAAGGGAGGCTGAGGATCTTCCCTTACCATGATTTCGCCAAGTGTTCCCATGGCTGCAGCCTCAATCTTTGCCCCCCGAATATGTGCAAGGTATCATATCTTTAATTGAAGTTTGGTCTATAGTTTATTATTTAATAATAATACTCCAACTAGCTTGGAGTTGTCATATATTTTTTTATTTATTTATTTTTAACTTGTCTTTTTCCCCAACTTTCTTTTCTGCTCTTAGCGTTGACGAGGGTCAACAAATTTCTAAATAATATAATATGATGCTATTAAATTTAATCTTTGGGTTGTGCTTTGCTTTGTAACAGGGTGTGATTATGGAAAGGATTCAAGCTTCCTTAGAGGGCAAGAAAAAGATCATATATCTTGGAGATGGTATTGGCGATTTTTGCCCGACCCTAAAGCTTGGAAAGTGTGACTATATGATGCCAAGGAAGAATTTTCCAGTTTGGGATTTAATTTGCAGGAACCCTATGCTCATCGAGGTTGAGATTCACGAATGGAGTGATGGCGAAGATCTCGAGCAAGTGCTTTTGCAGCTAATCAACATGGTTTCTGTCGATGCTCGATTCATCTCTGTTGACTGCAAACTGCAAACCATTTCGGCATCCAACCTTACCTTGCCCAAACCCCTGCCTGTTCGTCAGTAGAAGTGATTTTTTAGGTCTTGTTTCCCTCTAATTGAAGCATGGTTGAAATAATTGTAGATGAATAAGTTATTATCCTAGTTGGTTGAGTCTTAATTTAGTCGGGTATCGTCATTGTTATGACATTATAGAGGTCATGATTCAAGTAAGTTTAAATTTGAACGTACAATAGTCTTGATTAAAAGTTCAATGGTTATATATATTACTTTCGGTTGTTGAGTTGACCTACCGTTATAAGATATTAGATCCTTTGAATAAAAGATATTAAATTGTGATAAATGTTCTTAGAATGTATCTTTAATCCAATTTAAATTAATCGATTAATGAATCTAGTATAAGTTATATTAAAAAACAAATTATTTTAAATTAAATTTATTATTTTACCGAGAGAGATGTAAAATATGTTGTATTGTATGTACTAAAGCGTTTGTGGCCGTCATAAATCAATGTGGACCAAAGTTTTAAGACAAAAAAAACTAGTACCTAGTAGTTGTCCCACCACCATACCGTTCAGGTTTTGGATTAGATACAGATAATCTTTTGAAATTTGCTATTATTATCATCACTTCTGGGTTTAGTCTTATTGATACTATTAGTAAACATAATCATCTTTAAGAGATAACATCCATCGAATTTATTATTAGAATCTCGCTATCCTTTTCTTACCATATTTTTGGAGATTGATGGTACTTATCAGCTTCAGTTTTTGTTCATGCTGGTCTCCACATATGATAATTAATTTTTGGGTAAAGTATAGTACTGGTCACTGAACTTTTTTAAAGCTTTCATTTAGGTCCCCTAACTTTTAAAACTTGCAATACAGTCCCCCAACATTTAGTTCATTTGTAATATGGTCCCCCAATAGATACTTCGGGGACCATATTGCAAACAAACTAAATATTAGGGGACCATATTGCAAACATACTAAATGTTGGGGGACCATATTGCAAACGGACTAAATATTGAGGGACTGTATTGCAATGTTTAAAAGTTGGGGGACCTAAATGAAAACTTTAAAAAATTTAGTGACCATTACTGTACTTTACCTTATTTTAATATTAAGGTTTATTAATTAAAGATCAGATATTTTTATATAGTAATATATTTAAATACTTATTTTTTAATTATGAGTTCAAAATATTTATGTAACACAAATTAAAAATATTTCATTGACATATAAATGTATTATTTATTGAATATGATTAATTAGATCTATAATTTAAGTTGATCTAATATAAAAATATGAAAAACTATTGCTTGGTGCATGAACATATAAGATGTGAGGTATATATAATTTAAGATGTGAGGAAAATGAAAATTCATTTATTGTTTGATCTTACACAAGACTACCATAATTATGTAATTTTATAGACCTTTACTGAGATTATGTAAGTGTGCTAAAACAAAAGTAAAATTGATATTTATAAATTAGATGAATTGACAATAGTATTTAATACATATAAAAAATATTTAATCTTAATTAATATAAACCTTAATAATAAATATTTACCTAATTTAATTTAACAATAATGTATAAATAGATTTATTAAATATAAAAATAAAAAAAAGTTAATATAGATATAAAAAGTTAAGGAATACATCTTTTAATTTTTATTTCACATTGTCAAGAAATATAACCTAAACACTCTAATATACATATATAAAGTAACACAATTAAACTCTTCAACTCATGAAACTAATATATATTAAATTATAATATTAATTCCTATAATTTTACTTTTTAATTTTTTTTAAAACATATTATTTTAAAATATTTTAAAAAAATTTGATATAACAAAAAAAAATTCTATAAGACGTGCTCCTTGAAATGTACGTCACCTAAATAAAGGCGCGTTTCGCACAATAAATCTACCACGTGGGTAATTCTAAAATCATAGCTTCAAGTAAAATATCCCAAGTACCCCAATTCACACAACAAATCCAAAATTTGATTAAGAAAAATAATGAATAAATAAAATAAAGAGAGAGAGAGACAGATGAAGATACAGTGCAACGTGTGCGAGGTGGCGGAGGCGAAGGTTCTGTGCTGCTCCGACGAGGCGGCGCTGTGTTTGGAGTGCGACGAGAAAGTCCATGCCGCCAACAAGTTTGCCAGCAAGCATCAGCGTGTTCCCCTCTCTTCTTCCCATCATATTCCTAAATGTGACATTTGCCAGGTACTTCAATTTCCCCTACAAAATCCTCTCATTTTTTTGGATTATAGTTGTTTAAAGGTCAGATTTTAAAGTGACTCTTTTTGTTGATCAAGCTTAATTGCTAAGGAGAATCAGGGGAAACATCTATTACTAAAAAATAATAGAATGATCAATTAAGGAATTAGAAATTAGAAATTAAATTAAGGAATTTTTTGTAGTTTATAATATAATGATCAATTACTGTTGATGAAACTATTTGACAGGAAACTTCTGGGTTTTTCTTCTGCTTGCAAGATCGATCTTTACTCTGCAGAAAATGCGATATTGCTATACATACAGCAAATCTTCATGTGTCTGGTCACCAGAGATTTGTGCTTACTGGTGTAAAAGTTGGTCTCGAAACAACAACCGACCCTGTTGGATCTTCTTCCAATGTCAAATCACCTTGTAATGCAAAGACCACAGACGCTAAATCCAATTCTACATCTAAAATCTGGGCTCCTTTGACGTTGACTAGCGAATACAACGAGGTTCTTCCATCAACCGTTGGAGTTGAGAGCCTTGTGCCTACGAAAGTGTCGTATGGTGGGGGTTCTACAGCTGGAATCATTCAACCATGGCAAATGGATGATTTACTTGGGCTAACCGACTTTAATCAAAGCTTTGGTTACATGGATAATGAGTTATCTAAGGTATGCTTGTAGTCTCGGTTATGGTACTATATTTAAGTGCTGTTTATTTTTTTTTTAAAAAATCTTCAAAGTTCTTATGTCTGCTCCGTGCAGATCACGCGCAGACATTAGGCTTCGCAGACCGTTTGTTTTTTAAAAAATAGTAACTCTAAAAACGTTTGCGCGTCCTCTTCTTGACGTAGAAGTGTCCTTGTGTCTTCAAAATTCTTCTAACCTCTTCAAAGAACATTAAAAATAAAAACCCTCGCCTAAAAAAACTCCGATTGACTCAACTACGAAATGAAATTGCTGAGCAATTAATGCAAAATATGAATTGATTTATTTTAAAAAATTTATTATTGTAGTTATATGGATTATTTAAATTTCAGTATTATAAAATTAAAATTATTTAAATTTCAGTATTACAAAACTCTTTTAAGTTTTAAAAATCAGTTTATTTATATTTCAGTTTATTTTAACAGTATGCAGACGTTAAAAAACAAACAGTCTTCTTCTTACAGACTGTAGACTTTTGGTCCACCTCTTCTGCTGCAGATGTGATCCGCAGACTGAAGACCTTTTACCTCTACAAAAACAATCAGCACCTTAATGTTGTTCTCATGTAGAGTGGAGGTCATCTATGTTCTTTGTGTTATGTTTCTATTGGTTGTTTGTGTTTACTTACATTGTAGAAAGTTACTTTTACTAGGGTGGTAATCAAGTAATCCACATTCGGTTGACCTCACTCTCTCTCATGTATGCACACCCTGTCAGGATGAGCGAGTGAAAAAATGCATGCACGAGTGCAGCTGCCAGGTCGGAACTTACCGAAGTAAATTTAATTGGTAGGGGGCACCAATGAATATCTAAGTTATAATCTAGTGGTTAGCCAATTAACTATTTTACTCTCTTCTTCAATATCTAAGTAAATTTAATTGTTTTGTGCGTGGTTTTTATGGTTCTTAGCAGTTTGGATCTTTAGATATGGAAAGGACCATTCAACTTTATCAATGATTTACTACGAACTTTTGTATTTTCTACGCAATTAAGTTGCAGCATGAAGCATGATGCGAGAGAGGGGAGACTGGCCCGAGAAGTTGTTAGGATGCTTGCCATTCTCAACATAGACACACTACTCTCTTGTTCCCCATCCTTCCTCGGTCCTGTATAAATGCTGAAACTTTAGCATCTATTGTACTAGAAATCATTGGACTTATTACTATATTAGAAATACATAATTTTGGCAGAACATTGAGATAATTTAGAGTTGAAGGGGGAAAAAGTATATGTTGTTGGTTCAGTTTGCTAATCGAGATATTCATTGAGCTCTTGTGTCTTCTATTAGGCTAGTAGTGCTTTATATCGTTTAAAAGATATGCCTAATGCAACTAAAAATTATGGATTACTTTTGCTGAATTCTGACAGGCTGATAGTGGCAAGCGTGGAGACTCTGACAGCTCAACGATCTTGCGATCTACTGAGGAAAATGTCTTTGATGATGAGCGCATGGATCAGGTGCTGGATTCCTATTGGGCAGTGCCCCAAATGCCTTCACCTCCTACAGCCTCTGGGCTGTATTGACCTAAAGACTCTCACAATCAATCTGATAGCATGGTATTTGTTCCCGAGATATCCTGGTCTAACGTGAAAAGCTCTTTCCACTCGTCACATATTGGCTCCATTCCGAAAAGGCGACGACATGTTTAGAGTCAGATCCATCCTGTAGGACATGCTTTTAGCCTAAACTACAATACTAGTTTCCATTCTCTGGTTTCGGGATTTGCTGCTTTCTTCCACTAGGTTTCATAAGGTGAAAAACCAACACAGATAGTGTACTAGAAAGACCATTGTTAATTGCAGTAGATAGGTATTTGTTTTCATTAACATGTATTTATTACAGTATAACATGATCGACGTAATCATATCTGTGAAACTATGACTGTGTTCCAAAATTCAGAGCGTCGGTCCGAAATAAAATGGTTAGCGGTTTAAAATTTCCATTGTTGTCGATATAGTTTTCACCTTTCAATACGATACGCAAATACAACACTAACATACATCGTCGTTGTCGATAGGCTTCCTTGCTGTAGTCCTCTCGTCATAAAATTAACCTCTTAAAGAAAATCATTGACGAAAATGAGGTAAGAAACCGAGTTTAGACGAGCCATCATCCATATGGCATCAAAAATACAATCTCAAAGAAGTATGAAAGTTGAGTTTTGAGAAGGATTGTTAAAAAATCAAACTCAATTAATGACAATAATACAAGGTGATAATATAAGTTAATTAATCAATAATGAAGATGATTTAGATGACAATAATACAAATTATTTGTCAAAAAATTAATTTAAAAAGTAATTATAAAATAATTCAAAGGCTTAATTCAAAAATGTGTCCGAACTATGTCTCGAAAAACGTTTTAGTGTTTAAAGAATTTTTTGTTAAAAATATGTGGCTAATGTTTTAAACGGTATATTTTTAGGGACCGGACATTAACCGTTTGGGTTAAGAATTTGAAGTTGAGAATTAGGAATTTGGATATTGGAGATTTTAGATTTAGGGATTTTGGGTGACGGTAACGATGACGATTGATCATTGGGTGGGTGACGACAGGTGGGTAACCGTTCAACAATGACGATGGTGGCCAGAGATGGCCGGCGACAGTTGGTAATTGGGGTTGAAATGAATGATTTTAGTTTTTTTGGGCTTTTTATAATTTCAGTAAAAAAGTTGGGGTTTTTTATAAATAAATTAAACTTTTTTAATTAAAAATAATTTTTATTATTAAAAATTTAAAAAATAAACGTTAGACACCTAAAAATATAACCGTAAAAACATCATACACATATTTTTAACGAAAAATTATTTAAGCACTAAAACATTTTTTCGAGACAGTTCGTGCACTTATTTTGTATTAAGCCTAATTCAAATAATAAATGATAGTAATAGTTAAAGCTCTTCAAGCCTATAAATAGATTTCAGTAGTTTATGTATTAAGGAATCCATTGAATGGTCTCGGTGGTTATAGAGAGTATTATTTTTCTTTGAGGTTCTATATTAGAGTAGTCGTATGTAAACTATCAATGACTAAAAAAAATTATGAACAAATAATATCTTGTAACCACCTTTCACTTTAAAAAAGAAATTTATATATAAGTGAGAAAAAAGGTAACGTGTCAAGTAGAGAGACTTCTTATTCCTAGGTTCAAGTCCCTCCTCTTTTATTACACTTATTTATATTTTTTTAATAAAATGGTGACACACTTTAATTTATTCAAATCATTGAATTATATTTAAACTATAACTAAATTGATAGCATGGGTAACTTATATTGATTAAAACTATAATTATACCATTTAACATCACTTTTTTCATTATGTCAAAAATCAAATTAACATTCCGTGATCAAAATAAAAATAAAATAAAATATACGATTTTGTCAAAAAAAAAATTGAGTGACAAATAAAAACACTAAAATAAGATAAATAGTTTCCTGTTTCTTTACCAATGATTTTTTTCTCTCAGTATAACCATTAACATAACAATCTTCAGCATATTACCATGAAAATTAAAACCAATCATTTTCCTCGCCACCCTTAAAAGTTAAAACACCAACACCAACACCAAGGCCTCCTAGTTGATCTGTCATGTAAGAGATTGAGATACATAACTCAGAAATTTTTTAGTGTATAATATATATATATACTTTGCGAACATAATTTTCTTTTACCATTTATCATTTACGCCATTATCATTTACGCCATTAAAGGGGTCCCAATTAATTATAATTATTCTTTTAATTGATCTGAGATACTTACAATATAGTATTCGAGAGACTCAATCATTTGACAATAAACGCTCAAAAACTCATTGTAAACGTCGTGTTCAAACCCAAATTCTTTAGAAATAACAACTATCCTTTTAACTACTAAGATCACTTAGTTTATGCCAATTAATCATCATTAGAAACAATAAAGGAGGGAGTAGTATTACCTCTTGCTTTGTAGCATCCTCATTTTGTTGGACTATGGTTTTCAGAACATTGAATAACTCTTGCTTTGTACCATCCTCAATCTTTTGGACAAGAATATTCAGAACACTGTTCCACTCTTCCCTAATAGTTTTAGGCTGCAAGAAACCTCACAAAACCTTAGCTGCAAACGGTAATCCTTCGCATCACTTTGCAAGTTCCCTCTCTACATCTTCAACATATTCATGAATATGATCGTCCCGTCCGGAAAAGGCGGCTTCATGAAGTATCATCCGACACAACTAGTTAAGACGGAACACACGAGTCGATTCTGCGTTCACGAGTAGTCACTATGATCCTATTATCTAACCCGACCTGTTGAAAAACAACATTGAGAGCTCCCCAATTATCACCATTATAATATGATATCTCTACACATAGTCTAGAACAAGGACTTTTTGTTAAGAATTTTCCCATGAATTGTAACCAGAAGACACTGCAATGATATTATTGTTGCTTATTCCAAGCCTCCAAGAGCCTGCAGGATTGTTCTTGCAACTTTTTAGATCGAAAACGCCCGAAACATTCACCCAAATTATGTTATCAATGGGCTAGAACAGATATTGTTTCAATATTGTCTTTAACATTTTCACTTTCACTCAAAAGTACATTAATCATCTCGTTGTTAACATCATCTAGACCGTATAACTTTCGATTATTCGACGAAAGAATATCGACTAGATTGTTCATCAATAATTGACCTTCCTCCATTGCATCAAGCATGAGCTGAATATCCAAGAGACCTTATTGAAGCATCTATGTCTCATCCTCAATGCCCATCGTCTTCTGTCATTCTTTCTTGGCCACTATTGTGTTGAGTTGGTTGAGGATTACTTATATATGTTCCACTGTGTAGACACCATATTTTCGTCCTTATTATACGAGTATATAATGTATATATATATATATATATATATATATATATATATATTATTTACACATTTTTTTTCTCTTTTTATGTTACAGGCCCAAATACAAACAAAGCAGCCCCAAGCAAACCCGAACTTGGAGCCCCGACCCAGATCCAAGATGAAACCAGACCCGAACCGGAATAGTTAGGGTTTACAAACCCTAACTTTCGCCCCTCTCATTTTCAACACCACTAACGATCAAACGTGAGAGAATCTCTTTTTCAGCCGCTACCAACAAACCCCGATTTCTCAGCGTAACCAACCACTACAACTCAATAAACACGAGTTTTAGTACTAGTAAAACACTAAAGTTGCATGAAAAATAGGAAATTCTATAGGCCTATAAATTCATATGAATGTAAACACGAAATGGGTGCAAAAATCATACGAAAAAGAAAGATGGTGTGGGAGATTCGAACTTGAAAAGAGTTTTTGAGCATTTGAAAAAAATACGAAAATATACTTGAAAATCCATTGAAATCCCCATACCATTCGAACCAAGTATCAACTACAAGGAGACAATAATAAAAGAAAGAGAGAACAAAGAATCTTACCTTTGTCGGAGCCTCCATTCGTCGTCGGAAAGTCGGATTTCGAAGGTATTCAAACCTAGATCTAAGGTTCTAGGGAGTTTTTTAGGCTAAACAAACTTTGGATTGGGGTAGAGGGTGAAGAGAGAAGCGTGCTTGGAGTGTTTTACTCACTCCGGCCACCGTGGGCCGCCATGCTCCGCCGCGAAGCGCCGTCAGCGAACGACGACCTCCCCTCCCCAATCAGGGGAATTTGAGAGAGTTTAAATTCCTTCTCTTTTTTATTTTCTGAAAGGTGAACAAATGATGGGACGAGAAAATAAGGCCCAAGTTTTGGACTTAAATACCATGCGCAAAACGACGTCGTTCTGGGGGGTCTTCTGCGCGTTTTCAGAGGGTGGGATATTGTCAGTTTGGGTCCCTTTGCTTTTGTATTCTTGCTTTTCAGCAGTTTAATTGAGTTTTGCTTTATTCGATTTGGAGCACTTAGTTCTCAGTAATTATATTTTAGTCACATTATTGTTTGTTATGTTATTTCTGTTAACATTTGACTTTGGCCACATTTTTTGTGATTATTTCAGTTTAATCCTTTTATTATTTATGCTATATTTTTGAATTGGGTCATGTTATTTATAATTATTTTATTTCAATCACTGTTAGGTATCTGATTAATTATTATTTGATCCTTTACATTTTTTATTTGTTTACTTTATATATATTTTTTTATTTTCTTCTAATTTTAATATTTTTTGTATTTCTTTTTACATCATTTTATATATATATATATTATTATCTTCTTTTTTTGTTTTTATTTTTTTTGGTTTTTATTATTATATATATATATATATATGTATGAATTTTTTCTCTTATTTATTCGATTTTACATTAATATTTATTTATTTTTTTCTAAACGTTTTTTTTCAATTTTTTCAACTTTTTCCACTTTTTCCTTTTTTTCAACCTTTTCCTTTTTTCAACTATTTACTTTTAACCTTTTTGACTTTTTTTAATAGAAAATTATTTTTTATAAACATTTTTCTTTCCTTTTTTTTGAAATTTAACATTTTTTTTACTCTTTTTATTATTTTTTATTTTATTTATTTCTTTGAAAACTTATTTTCTTCATTGTTTCTTCATTATTTTTTTCTCTTTAATCTTGATTTTATATTTAATTTATTTTTTTATATTTTTTTATTTATTTTTATATTTGCGATCTAACATTCTTTTTGACCATTTTTAAAGGAATTTCAACTAATTAAAAGTAAGTAATTTGAATTAAGTTTTTTTAAATTTTAATTTTAATTTCATTTTTTCACAATTAAAGACAATCATCAAATTAATTGGTACCGATAGGGCGGTTCAAGGGTGCTAATCCTTCGTTAACCGTAACCGACTCCCGAACCCGACACATTTCTGGTAAAACGCAGATCAGGTAAGATGGTGTCTGATCTACCTAAATGTTTTTAAAATGATTGGTGGCGACTTTAACCCAATTATTCACGTCGAAGCTCAATTCTGGATCTAC